TAAATTAATTCATTTTTAGCAATTCCTTTTGTGTATATAGTTCAGTACAAAACCAAAATGACAACAGGTATTTGTGTGAAAATGTAGGCCAATATTCTTTTTCCAGCTAAAACATTTGTGTTTTCTGCACTGCGGTGAAGCATGTGACCTACTTATTATGAATGTGACAGAATTTAATCCTCACATTTCTTTTGAAAAGGGGATTTTTATATGACTATAAGATATCAAAAGTACTTGAGGCAAAAGGTATTCAAATTGACTTGTGCATATGTTAAGTTAGCAGTCAGAATTTGCTGTGGCTGACCTAGGTGCCAAATGTCTCTGCGCTTTCAAAAGTTCCTGAAAGGTTGTTTGGGACTGCACAGCAAATTGGGAGAAGGGTGTTTTGTGCAGCACTTGGATAATTAGTTCAGATTCTGGTTATATGCCCCCAAATGGGTCATGAGGATTGGCTCTTTGTTGTAATGCACTGTAATTATTATGTAAAAAGGCATACACTGCAAGTTGCTCTTGTGTTCAACATATTAAAGAATGAGGATACCCAAAGGGTTTTACTTTGCTAGTAAGCAGACTGGTTGATGGGACTATAGTTGTCCTGCTGGAGTTAAACATAATCCTGGTCCCTAAAAGCTGCAAAGTAATCAGTAGTAATTTGCTGTTTGCTTCTGGTAATAACAGGGCACAGTAATTTGTTTTTGTTATTTCAGCAACTTTTGGAAAAAACAGCAACTTGTGAGACAAACAATTGTAAAATGGTTTAAAAAACCTGGTTCCACTGCATGTATTTTTTCAGGAAAAGGAAGGCACCTGCAAGTAAGGAGAATTGAAAGAAAACTGAATCTATAAGAATTGTAATTTGAATCTCTCTCCCTCTGAAAACAAATTCCATTGCTCCCCTAAGAATGCCTTCTTGCAGCTCTTCTGCAAGTTGTGAACAATTTCTTCAGCACCTGCTGAGCAAATAACAGCCTGAGCTGCCTGACTAAAATCCTGGCAAGTTGCAGGAAATAGAATTGATTTTGAAAACAAAGATAAACCAGTACACCGCTCAATTTAAAATGTACAGGAGTCATACAAACCTGCTTTAAGGCAGGCTGACAGGTCCACAATCACAAGGACCAAGAACATGTTGCCCAGCCTAGGTGCAGGTAGACAGGAATTGTTTGTTTTTTCAGACATAGTTTAGACCAGTAGTTCTCAACCTTCCTGATGCCACGACCCCTTAATACAGTTCTTCATGTTGTGGTGACCTCCAACCATACAATTCTTTTCTTTGCTACTTCATAACTGTAAATTTGCTACTGTTATGAATCGTAATGTAAATATCGGACATGCAGGATGTATTTTCATTCACTAGACCAAATTTGACACAAATACCCAATACACCCAAATTTGAATACTGGTGGGATGGGGTGGGGGGCGTTGATTTTGTCACTGGGAGTTGTTGTTGCTGGGATTTATAGTTCATCTACAATCAAAGAGTATTCTGAACTCCACCAACAATAGAATTGGGTCAGACTTCCCACACAGAACCCCCGTGGCCAATAGAAAATACTGGGAGAGTTTAGTGGCCACTGACCTTGAGGTTTGGAGTTGTAGTTCACCTACATCCAGAGAGCACTATGGCCTCAAACACTGATGGATCTGATCAAACTTGACATAAATACTCAATATGTCCAAATGTGAATACGGGTGGAGTTTGGGGAAAATAGACCTTGACATTTGGGAGTTGTAGTTGCTGGAATTTATACAATCAATCAAAGAGCATTCTGAACTCCACCAATGATAGAATTGGGCCAGCCTTCCTACACATAATCCCCATGACCAACAGAAAATACTGTTTTCTGATGGTCTTTGGTGACCCCTCTGACATCACCTTGCGACCCCCAAGTTGAGAAACACTGGTTTAGACAAATCTATACTCATTGGTGTTTCATCACTCAAAGACCTAGGGGTGAAAATGTCAACCATCAGCACTTACCCTGAAAAGTATTGTTCTCAAGCTGGTGACAGGGGATTTGAAAGCTCTTTAGAGTTTACAATCTGAGCTGTTTTACTCATGCAAGTGCCAATGCTTAACATGCTTACTTAGTGTTTGAACATGCATATTTCCGTTCATTCCAGTTCTGTTGAACTGCTAGGGAACTTCTTTTAGAAGGCTGTTGTTCTAAAGGTTGACCACTCACTTCAGCACATCTTTGACAATACTTTAACAATACTTGAGTTCCATATTGCTCTGATAATGTTTGTTGTTTAAAGAGTCATATTAGTGACAAGAAGAATGTGATTCCTTCCATGCACATGTCACTCTGCCTCTTAGCAAAGCGACACCGAAAATTGCAATCAAAAGTGGCAGCAGACAAGTTTTTGGATGATTGGCTTTCATAATAGAGATGCCATTACTTAATAAGCTCTCATTCTAGTAATCTCATGCATTTTCTTGGTTGGCAGGAAATAGGGTTTCCTGTCAACCCTATTTGGAGGCTCCTGTGAAAAAGATGGTGCTTCAAATCACTAGGCTCCATGTTGTTTAGGGCTGCCAGCAATTTGAATTGTGTCTGCAAATAAACCAGAAATCAGTCCATTTGCATTAGAGTTATTACCAAATGAATAAATATTCTATAAATCATTTACATAAGTTCGCTTTCAAATCTTGATATTACTGAAACATTTAGCCTCATAGTTAATATTGATGTGTTATAGCAACAATTTTAGGAAATACACCAGAAACACTATAAGTAATAAATGTCTCAGGAATCTGTATTTCATCTACATTTCCTTTTTACTTCATCAGAAGCCCCCACAAGCTGTCAGTTACATATGCCACTTACAAAGTGATGAGTTAAAGTGAATCAATTCAAATGAGAAATTTGAAGTTTGGGATCATGCCATAGGTGCATACATTTTCTCTTTCCCATGGATTCTATCCTATCTTTTTTTGTTTCCAGAGCTATATTGTGTCATTCCATCCAATTGGGTGAAACTATGGGTGGGATTTGGAGTGAAGTACATACAGACTTTGAATACACACACGGTATATAAACATACATACACAATTAGTCTTTCTAACCTATCCATCCGTGCAATAATTGCTAGGATGAATCTAGCACAGGTGTGGGTAAAGTACACCCTTGGACTACATGGGAACAGAGCAGTTTGTATGGCTCCCGTGATTCCCTCATATTTTGAAAAATATTTTACCCCCAAAAGAACCCTATCATGTTGGGGGAATTTTCACCATGTTTTTGCTACCCTTGTCTTTCCAAAGAGGAGTGGATTCTGTGGGGTCAATAAAGACACTTAGCCTGTGATAGTTGCTTACCCCTGATCTAATGGGACTACTTTCCTATTCAGGCTTACCTTGAAATGTTTATTCTATTTAGTAGCAATGAAAAGTCCTGTAGCACTTTTTGAAAAATCTTACTGCTACTGCAACTGTTCTTCTGGAATACAGCATTATAGAAACACAGGGTTTGGCTTGTCGCTGCTTAATTCTTGTTTATATTTCAAATGTTCACAGTTAACTATTACATTAGTTCATCATTATGTTATATTTATAGTATGTTTATTTTAGGTTTTGTGTTATGCCAAATACCTTTTCTTTGTAGAAGAACATGAATTGATGTTATAAAAGAAAAATGAGGTGAAAGGAATGTGAATGTTTAGAACTTGGGAGTCATAGTTTCTGTTCTGTCAAATTTACATCTGTTGTGTTTCACTGGTGTTTGAAAAGATATGAGAAATAAATATGAACTATGGCAAAAACACTCTGAATTGTTTTCTTAAGGTGCTCTCATAATCGGAAAATTACTAACACTTTAGCATAACAGAAATATGAGATTTAAATAAAAGTTACCAAATGCTAAAATATTTTGCCAGCTGGCAAGTAACTCTAGTGGGGAAAATGGAAATTATGTGTCTTTACTTTTCATTCTAGATAAAAAGAGTAATTCATAGATAACTGTTAATATACAGCAGTCATTCACTTCAGAGAAAAATTGGATATTTCAACAGAAGTACCACAGTGTCACGTCTTCTTTTTTGCAACACTTAACACAAATGGAATACAGCATATCATTGCACTGTATGTTTTCCTGACCTCCTCTGCAAATGATGTGAGTCAGGGAAATGTGCTGTGCAATGACATTGTGTCATATGTTATTTGTGTTTGATGTTTAGGAAAGTGAATGGGGGGGGGGGGGAGGAGTGCAGAGGCAGCAGCATTAAGTCTGTTTAAACATCTAATTTAGCCTTTGTGTAAGTTACAATTAACTTTGTCCTACAATTTTAAGAACACTTAAAGTGCAGTTCTTAAACTACTTACCATATCTTTTTTTAAATGTTACCCTTCCTTTTAGTCTGTAACATGAGCTATTTCTAAATCACAGTAATAAAAAACATGATATAAAGTCAATGATTAGTTCTTCATTTTCTACATTTAGATACAAAAGAATTTACTACATTTTATTTTACCACCAATAAGAAGTGAAAACACTGTACAATACTTAAATTGGTCAGCATCAGATACTGAAACTGTCACCTTGAGATGGTCTTGAGATGTAGCTGATAAGGAGTGGAACTCTTTCAAGATAGATATATTTGCCTTGAGCCTGTTAACAACTAGATTGTCATAACTTTGAGGATGATTTGATTTTTAGATATTTTTCAGGGGAGAAGGGTTTTTCTTTTTGGTGTCAGGAGCGACTTGAGAAACTGTAAGTCGCTTCTGGTGTGGGAAAACTGGCTGTCTACAACTACATTGCCCAGGGGACGCTTGGATGTTTTATTATCCTGTGAGAAGCTTCTCTCATGTCCCCGCATGAAATGCTGGAGCTAGCAGATGGGAGCTCACCCCGCTCCCTGGATTCGAACCGCCGACCTTTCGGTCAGCAATCCTGCTGACACAAGGGTTTAACCCATTGCACCACCTGGGGAAAGTTATTTCATCTTTATGAATTCATCAGCTTTTTGTAACAACTTTGTTGTGTTTCTTCTTCTAGAGATTCGAGCTCAATTAATAGAGCAACAAAAATGTCTGGAGCAGCAGACTGAAATGAGAGTGCAGCTACTTCAAGATCTGCAGGATTTCTTCCGTAAAAAGGCAGAAATAGAGACTGAATATTCTCGCAATCTAGAAAAATTAGCAGAAAGATTCATGGCAAAAACAAGAAGTACAAAAGATCACCAACAATACAAGTAAGTCTAAGTTTCTTATATAATCAGTGGTTTCGTTCACATGTCCAATCAACCCAGCGGTCCCGGGGAATAATATGAGTTGTTTTATATTATAACCCTTCCACATTTTGGGCGGTTAGAGGCAGAAGTCTCCATGGAAGGAAACAAATGCTTTATTTTTAACTGAGAGAATACCTCTCTAGGCATTTGTAGGTTCTCCAGTAAAATTCTTCGTGGAAGTTGACCATAGAATTGCACTACAAGTTCCTGGAGAAATGCTCTGTCTAAGACTCTCTTAAGTCCTCTAGCGCACTACTTCTTAAACCCTGGGTCCCAACCCCAAATGGGGCCCCCTTAGCTCACTGCTGGGGTCCTGAATTTTTTTCCTAAATGTCACCTAGTGTCTGTTTTAGAGAGTTACATGAATCTGTTCGTAACAATGTGCAGCATTAACAGTGGACTCTGCAGATGCTTCAGCTGTACTTCATAAACAGGGAAAAACAGTCTGTTTTGCAAGACATGCAAATGCTGATTTATTAACAATAAATGTTGGTTTTTTACACCTATTATATATACATACCTGGGCTCATGTAAACATTTCTTGTACTGCCAGGAGTGAAGACCAACAGGTCATAAGTTCGAATCCGGGGAGAGCGCGGATGAGCTCCCTCTGTCAGCTCCAGTTCCCTATGCGGGAACATGAGAGAAGTCTCCCACAAGGATGGTAAAACATCAAAACATCTGGGCGTCCCCTGGGCAACGTCCTTGCAGATGGCAATTTCTCTCATACCAGAAGCAGCTTGTAGTTTCTCAAGATGCTCCTGACACGAAAAAAAATTCCAAAGTGATAGGAAAGCACCAATGCTATCTCGGGACCAACCATCCCTCACCAGCACCATTTTCTCACTCAGGCATTTCAAAAGGCCCGAGTTGTCAATATTATTTGAAAGTTTTTAAATTATATATACATACATAGAGACACACACTCTTCAAAATTCAACAATCAAAATACAAGTATTTTTTCCCCAATTCCACCACCTTCTCATTCCTTCCTGAGACCTCTAACCTTGACTTCTCTTTACATAATACAAAGGTACAGGAATCCTTTTGAATATTTATACCTCAGTATATTCGAGCATGTAATCATTTCCCCCTGGTTACCATCTTATACATAACCATATAAGGTTATCAAAAGTATTCATTTTATTTTTTTATCATCCTGTATCCCATTTTACCTCATTTCCCCTCCTAAAATCCACAAATAAGCAGTTCCTCAAAAGTCAAACCCACAAATGTGGAAGACTGACTGTATATATAAATGTTTAATAAAATAATGATATAAACCTATACAAGTGATAGTCAACTAGATATGAATATCAACAACAGTATTCTGATAACTAATACTATAAATAAGGTACAGTATAGAAAAATATGACAGGTCTCAACATTTCACAAGTTCAGCGGGCAATACAGATGTCACTTATTTCATAAAGTCCTCATTCCTGAGAGCGAGAATTTATTAAAACAGTTATGGACAACACAACATATCAAACTTTTGATTGAAAGGCAATCAAGCTATCAGTCTTGAGATTCTTCATACAGCAATAAACCTCTCTAACTCTCACATGTCATAACCTGACACTGAAGCAGAGAGCTTTTATTTATATAGTTAACCTGCTGTAGCTGCAATGAACCGTATGCCGTCAGTCAACACAATGAAGCTTAATAAATCCTGAGACAAGACTATGCTTGTGTATTTACTGAAAACGTATCAGTTCAGATATTGAACATTAATAGAAGCATATAAACATATCAAATTACGTATTATAGCCATAAAAGGTGGCAGGAGACATTATTACATTTCAAGGCATATCTCAATTCTGTTCACATAAGAATCAAGTTCAATATGACATATATCTCAAACATACTCTTTTGTTTTTTTAGACATAAGTGTAAATGTATTTTAATGAGTAACTCCAATTTTGAACTTAAAACGTGTATCACACTTCAGTTTCACAACCTGGTTTCAAGTAACGCCTTAAACCAAAGTTTTCCAATCTATGTGCTAGAGAGGAGAAGGAAGAGAAGAATTTTTAGACTGCCCTATCTCCCCAAAGGGACTCAGAGCGGTTTCCAGCATGTATGACAAACATTCATACATTAAAAAGGGAAAAACATTCAAACAGAATTACATCAGGGCAAACCATATTGAACAATATAAAAGCAACCTAACTCTAAAACCTAATAACAAACAAAATAACCAACAATAAAAACTTAAATAGCCTATATGGATATAAAAGTTAATATAAATTTAACACTAAATAAAGGCAACTAAGAGCGATAGCTAAAACCAGGGGTCCTTAAACAATGGCCCGGGAGGCTGGATGCGGCCCTCCAAGGTCATTCACCCAGCCCTCGCTCAGGGTCAAGTTAAGTCTGAAATGGCTTGAAAGCACACAACAACAACAATCCTCTCTGATCAGCCAAAAGCAGGCCCACACTTCCCATTGAAATATGAATAAGTTTATAGTTGTTAAAATTGTTCTTCATTTTCATTATTGTATTGTTTTTAAGTGTCTTTTGCACTACAAATAAGATATGTGCAGTGTGCATAGGAATTCCTTCATGTTTTTTTCAAATTATAATCCGGCCCTCCAACAGTTTGAGGGACTGTGGCCTGACCCTCTGATTAAAAAGTTTGAGGACCCCTGGCTAAAACCATTATAAAAAGATGACATTTTATTCAAGAAATGTTGTTCAAGATACAAAGGTATCTTTGCAAAGTCCAGACACTCACAAACATGCAGTCATATGAATTGTGTGTTCTTGTTTTAGGGGTTATCTGTTTTTTGTTTCCTTTTTTTCCTTTTCTTCTTTTTTACGCAGTATTTATGCAACCAAAAGCCAATTTGGTTTACTTATCTTTTGTGTCACAATAAAGCTATTTGGCACCTTCACAGTGTTGAATATCTTATGTACATCTCGTTCTGACAATACCAATTAAATCCATTTGTTCAAGGTTGTAACATTGAAAAATGCTAGAAAGTAAAGGAGGGGAGGGTGAACGCTTCAAGATTATGTATTTGAGTTTAAAATTTAAGAAGGATCTGAAGCTGAAATAACTCATGTTTGCTGTCTAATACGCTAGGAACTTGACCATGCTATGTAAACAAAAATAATAGGGTACATAATTTAAACAGCATCGTTTGCATAAAACAAGCATTATTTTTGTAATAGATCTGTAACATACAAAAATCATTGGGAACCAGCAGATAGCTATTCTTTCCATTTGGGAATGCAGATGCATAAAACAATCCACTTTTTACAATCTTTTGTACCTTCCAAAGAATGATTTTCCCGGTCCAAATGACGAGCTTCCCACGAAAGAGAGTCGGGATGTCCTGTCTTTAAGTTGTTTCCCATATTTCCAGCTGCAGGCTATAGGTCTATGTGGGGAAAGCTACAGCATGCCATCTGGACAGGACCTTATTATGTATTGTTTGTGGACTTCCTGCAGTGATATAAATGATGTTGACAAATGGAGATTGACATGTCAGAGGTTATAGATTATCCTAAAAATGACACATATTTAATTTTTTATGGCTAACACATTAATGCACTGTTAATTAAAAAGATTAATGGGCTTTCTTGATAGGATCCATGACCATTAAATGGCTTAGAATCCCAACACCTTTAAGTATGCATGGAAAAGATTAAATTTGTTCTGGAATCATCATGGTTTTAAGCATGAAATGGTACTTAAAGTGTTTTAGCAATTCATTAATAAAATTTTGAATTTCCCCTCCACTGTATTATTCCCTATTTTCTCAAGCAACAATATTTTGTGACTATGTTCTTGTTTAAACTGATAACATAAACTGCAGCTATCACTAATTATGTAAAATATCTGTTCTTACTAGAAAAGACCAAAATCTGCTATCTCCAGTAAATTGTTGGTATTTACTACTCAACCAAGTGAGACGGGAAAGCAAAGATCATGCAACTCTGAGTGATATTTACCTGAACAATGTCATCATGCGTTTTATGCAGATAAGTGAGGATTCCACCCGAATGTTCAAAAAGGTACTAAATTGTGATTTCTCCAATGCTTTATTCAAATGAAAATACTACCAGATATTTAGCATATTACTAAGTACTGCCTCATAATATTTGTTTCTGTAAATGTTTGTACCCATTTCGAGGCATTGAATGTCTGCCTTTTTGTGTGTGTGTGTAAGCCTCCTTGAGTCCTTCCGGGGGGAGAGGGCGGTCTAGAAATAAAGGGTTGTTGTTGTTGTTGTTGTTGTTGAAATGTAGAGAAGAAAGTGATTTTTGTGATGGAAGTTTCATAATCTTATTTCTAAACATAAGAATGATAAATGAGCTCTCCTTTATGAAAAATATTCAATTCAAGAAAATGAAAAGGCTTTATACATTTAATTCATGTTCTTTTAATAAGCATTTCTTGAAAGCAAGTTTGGAAGTAATAAAAAATGAGAAAAGGTTTGAAGCAAGAATATCTTTGCATATACCAGCATCAGCATAATTAAAAGTTAATGTTTTATTACCCACGACAGTAAATAAAAGAGTAATATGCATTGTAAAATCACTTTAGGTTATGTTCATGGACAACCGGACACACTCATTGGCTTTACACATCAGCTTGACTGTAAATCAACAACTGGTATTCTGTTGATCAGTCTCACACTAGAGAATGAATCCACTTTAAATCTGGTTACTGCCTCCTGCAGAATTCTGTGGTTTGTAGTTTAGGGAGGAGCCCTTAGCAGCCTCACTAAACTACCAACCCCAGAATTCTGTAGGAGCCAGAAACCGGATTTAAAGTGGATTAGTTCTCTAGTGTGATGAAGTGATGAGACCCATCTACATGGACCATATGATTCTCTGCAGGGGTGAATGGACTCTATGGCAGCCACTCAATGCTAGGGTTAATTCACCTTAATGCAGCTTTGTCCCATTTTTAAAAACGATTGCAGGAAAGTTTGAAAATGTTGGCCACTTCCTATTTGGAAGCAGATGCATCTATTTTCACAACTATCCCGCTCTCCCTGGGGACAGGGATGGCATTTCCCATCAATCACAAAACTGTTGGCGATCGTGGTAGTTGTCGCTCGGTACCTGTAATGATGCTAACCAGAGTGATGTAGTGATAAGAGAAGGGAAGGGAGAAAGGAGGAAACTATTTCTTCTTTCCCCTCCCCTGTATAGTTTTTTTGCTTTGGCTTGTGTCACTACATGCACCAAGTGACGACTACTACTAGTTCTGAGCCCTGTGGTAATTGCTAAACCAAGATCAATAGGGAGAAGGTAAGGATTGTGGTCCAGTGGCACTTGACAGGTTCCAGGGGACACTGGGCTATGCAGACCCGATTTGGCTGCTTGGCTAGCTCAATGTGCATAGTGCATTTATTATTATTATTATTATTATTATTATTATTATTATTATTATTATTATTGCAGACACCTGCCAGCCCTTGAGCCGACTCAGTTACTGGCTGTGCAGACTTCAGCAATGGTGACCCAAGTACTCCACTCCAGATCAGCATCAGCATTTATAGCACACGTAGATGATCCCAAAATCAGTGGTTGAAAGGATGAGTTAACCCATAGCTACCATTGATTCAGTAGCTCTACTCTAGTCAGAATTGACAATAGGTTTCAGGCTATTGTTGGAGGGGGATATGTTTTTAATCAATGGAGTACACCGCGGTATTTAACTCCTAGCCTCTAGGTACTTCATTGAAGTAGACAACTACACACTACTTTTCTGCCAAATTGGCAAGTGTGTGTTAGCAAACACATACATGTCTGATTTGGGCCTCAATACTGGATCTGTATTTACGTAAAAAACCAAAGGGTAGCTGGGTTATTTTCTCATTTTTTCCATTCTTATTAAGGTGAAAACGTACTGCTGTTTCTCCTACAATGATATTTTTCATCTTTATATACCTGTATTACTCTAGCTAGTTAAACAGAACATTTTGATGTTTGAATCAATCAGAGAGAAATGGTTAACTTTCTAATGTATATGCACAATACTTGTGAATATTCCTTATCCAAGGAGCATACAGACTGATGGCATTTGAATACGTTTAGATTTTTTTCTTAAACGTTTACATTGTTGTTATCCTGATCCATCTTAGATGCTCTGTCCCATTAATCACAATATGGTGATGGGAAGGATACTGTGTCACAGCAGAATATTCTAAAAGTGTGATTCTGACAACAGAGCCTAAATTGTGTACTCCATTACAACTTTGCATGAAAGAGATGTGCAGGTCTGTATGTCCCTTATATCTTTCTTCTTTCACATAACCAAAAGAAGAAAAGTGTGGAGAGTGTTCCACCTAACCTCTTTGAAGCATTTTGTTTGATTTCTATGCTGTGATTATGCAAGATACAGTCGTTAGCTATTAATTTTGTTTATTGCAAAACATACTGCAAGGTCAGAGCAACCTCTGTATTGCAAGCTTCCGTGCCTTCCAGTGTTGAATCATTTGGTGGCCTTTTATATTATTCTGTTTTCTCTGTAAGCTGAAGTATTTTTAGATGATGGTATGTCCATCACTCATTTAACCATAACCTAGTTTTCAAAGATATTTTTGGCTTTCCAGAAGATGGCAGAACAAGCACCGGTTGGGCATTCCCACTGGGCTTTCCTGCCTCTGTCCAGCTGTCAGAGAATGAGCCTTTTAAAACCTTTCAGTGCTCTCAGTTGAGCTGCATGTAAATTGCTCTGTGGAGAAGTCAAACTTATATTGCTTGTGCCATCTGTCATCACCATAAATCTATTAATTCCTTGTCTTGTAAATTATCTGAAGTTTCTAAAAGGATTTTGAACATGTATTCAATAGTACTAGTAACTCACAACAATAAGTTTGGTTATACCAATTGGTATAATTATATAGTAATAAATATGTTAACTGTGGAAATAACAAATTGTAAATTGAACGAAATAGAAAATGTTATAATATAGACAATATAGACAAAATAGAAAATGTTATAATAATTAAGAACATGTGGGATCCTGTTAGAAAATATTTAGTGAATGTATTAAGATGTAGAGTGGAAAAATTGAGACTAAGACTGATATTTCAAATGTAATTTCTGTAGTTTATTGAATAAATTGTATGTCCAGAGGGGAGGGGGGTAAACAATAAAATTAAAATAAATATTTTGCAGTTTAGGGCTGCAATCCTGTGCACATTTATTTGAATCTCATACAATGTCCTTTTAAGTCGACATGTTATACAAATAGTCCTCAAGTTACGAACAAGATAGGTTCTGTAGGTTTGTTCTTAAGTTAAATTTGTTAGTAAGTCAGAACAGGTACATTTTTTTAGATAGATAGATAGATAGGTAGATAGGTAGATAGGTAGATAGGTAGATAGGTAGATAGATAGATAGATAGATAGATAGATAGATAGATAGATAGACAGACAGACAGACAGACAGACAGACACGCATGCTTTGGATAGCATAAGGAAGGGTTAATACTGCTGTGATGGTTGTTTTGCTGTCTGTGCCTCTGTTCAGAGCCTTTGTTCAGAAGATTTCATCTCACTTTCTGTCCCTATGATAATGGATTTTGGCTTGTTGTGGAAACAAGGATTGGTGAGAAAGCTTTCGTTGAGGCAGCTTTTCTCCATGATAACTTTTTCAGGAGTAAATTTCCCTTCTGAAGAATTGATTTCTCTCACTCCTGTTTTTAACTATGAGCATTTGTAAGTCGGATGTTTGTAACTCAGGGACTTCCTGTAAATCAGATAAAATTATACATTGTAGAATAGCTTTTGGTGCATATATCATATTGCTTATTTTCCTGTTAAGGAATCTCACAGTGTTGCTTAGGGACATAAAACAGCTATATAATCCCTTCACATTTAATTTAATTAGAATAAGCTCTTCTTTCAATTAAGATGTTTACCAGAGTTACACTGGGAATTCTATGTTGGTGATAAACATTTCTCTTTCTACAAAAACCAGGATTAATTAGATTAAATCTGTCTCTGCTCTCTGATTAGGATCAGGAAAAGAGTCATTCCTTCTATTTGCTATCTAGATAGAAATGTTGTGAGATGCTTGAAGGACATAGGATGCAGTTAACTAGGGACAATGATGTATACTTTTCAGCATGAATACCAGCTATATATTTCTAATAACAATAATGATGATGATGATGATGATGATGATGATGCTTGGGAAGTGTTCGACTTGTGATTTTTTTGATACGAAATACAGCATATAGATCCTGTTTGCTGTGACATACTGTGCTTTTGTGTCAATAAAATAATAATAACTTTATTTTTATACCCCACCTCCATCTCCCCGAAGAGACTTGGGGCGGCTTACATGGGGCCAAGCCCAGATAACAGAGTTAAAACATAACACATCAATGTGGATCAACAGCAATTTAAAATGACATAAACAACATTAAAAAATATATAAAACAGGTATCAAAAACCAACAGCAATAACATGATCAAGTCTCTACATGGGTGGGTGGTCTGGTGTCCAACAGATCCGAGGATAGGGAAATGAATAAAGTGCACAGGGCATGTATTAGTGTTAAGGACAGAGCAATAAATAAGGCCAAACTCAAATTATAGATAAAATAGTAGTAAAGTGCATAGTCAAATTTTGGGGTCCTATCTAAGGACGATTGTCAGAGGAAAAGTTTAATCAAATGCATAGCGGAACATCCATGTCTTCAGATCTTTCCGAGAAGTGGATAGGGAGGGGGCTAGTCTCATCTCCCTAGGAAGGGAATTCCAGAGTTGGGGGCGACGACCGAAAAGGCCCTCTCAAGGATTGTGTGGGTTCATAGGGGAAGATGCGGTCTGAAAAATAAGCAGGTCCCGAATCTTTTAGAGCTTGAATTGGGACCGGAAGCTTATCGGCAGCCAGTGGAGCTGTTTGAACAGGAGGGTTGCCCGCTCCCTGTAAGGTCAGTTATTTTTCCCCAACACATGCTATTTTGCTAATGCCTAGGTCTAGAAGTCTTTTGAATTTAGCACTTCTTTGGAATTTAGAACACGTGTGTAATGGAATGGTCCTACCTTGCTAGGCTAGCGGATAGGAAAATTTCTAGGCCCTGGGAGAAAAGGCCTGATCCAAGCTAAAGGAGGAGGGAACAGCCCACTCTGTATATAGTAGTGCTGCCTGATTGGTGGGGAGGGAGGGGTTAGAGAGTGTTGCCTAGCTACAGAAGGTAGGGGGCACCAGAGAGAGTGATAATCTAGGAGATGGAGAGTAGTCTGAAGAGGAGAAAAGAAGTGTTGGGTGATCAGAGAGAAAAACCTTTGTGAGGAGGGAATTGAAAATAGCCTCGGGGAGAAGTGCTACCTTTTAGAGCGCCTCTAAGGGACAGAGTGCTTATATTAGGAGCCTCTGGAAGGAAGGATTGAGGAGTTCTGAAAAGCCCAGTTAGTTCACCTGTGAGTGAACATTGTTCTATGGAAGACAAGTTAAGGAACCATTTTCTTTTAAGGAAACAGCTTGATAATCTTCTGAAATCATTAAGCGGCTGAACCTCTCCTAATATCTGAGAAGCCTACTTGCTCTAGTTCAAATAAACTTCATAAATCTGTTTATACTTCACCACAAGTATTCAGTGTGTCTTTCTGTATATCGATATAAGAAGGGGGCCTGTTTACATAACAGCCATCATTCTTTAAGTTAGAGTTTCCCTCCATTTTTTGAGTGGCTCTGTGAACTAACACCTGTGGTCAGTGGGACGGGGAAGAGTGAATGTTATGGTTGTAGATCAATACATTTAGTTTGGTGGCAGCGAAGTTATATAGTGATGTAACCGGCGGTCAGCGGTTGGGATTGACCTTTGTAAATTGCGTGTACATAATGAGATGTTTTGAAGATGAAACCTAAGTTTGTGCACAAAGTGCATTTATGATTCATTGATGCCATATATGCATAGCCTGAAGATCATTCGATAAACAAATATTTTTAATAATTTGTGCCTGAAACAAAGTTTGTGTATACTGAATCATCAGAAAGCACCCCCTCCCCTCCAATATATGTAATTGCAAGAGCTAAGCCTAACATGATTCCAAGGCTTAACTCCTAGCATGAGGCATGCAATAAAATGTAGGCCTCAGTATGTGATGACACAGTTAATAAATGGAAGTGGCTGTGCCTCCCTGGGGCTGAGAGAGTGTGACTTCCTCCAGACAACAATTCATTAAACATTATTTTAAAGGAAGGAGTTATCTGCAACCTTCCTCTGTAGCCCAGTAATCATGACTTGAGGCTGAGAGAGTGTGATTTGCCTCAGCAACAGTTTATTAAGAGTTGAATAAACTGTCAAAATTTGGTTGAGATAGTTCTTTCAGTTCTGGAGGGACTTAGCATGGGGATTTGGTTAAGCAGTTAAAACTAATGAGAAAACCAGTATTACCTGAAAAATTTCAGAGGGGAGGGTTGAAACCCCTAAATCTGCCCCCTCCCCCCAGCTACAGGCTTGAGTATATACTTTCTTTACATGAATGCCAGTAGTGTTCAACGGAAACTAGTTGCATGAACTCTGACAATACAGATTGAGCTTGCCTTATTTGAAATGTTTGGAACAAGGTGTGCTTATATTCATTATTTTAAAAATTCTGCTTATTAGATCAGACTGATTATACTTTTTGCTCTCTAGTGTTTGAATTCCTCTTACAATGGGAGAGCATGTTATCACATCCTCAGTCTCTGTCTTCTGTTATCTTCAGGCATCTGAATTTTGTAGTATTGCCATCTCTTGTAAACTATTCTCTAACTGCTTTCAGTTCCAGAGGGGGAAAGGACAGCACTGCATACCTAAATGTGTTATTTGTTGTTTCTTATTATATGCAAAACCATATATTGAATTGATTCCAGGGGTTAATGGTATAAGTTTGTTATGGCAAACACATGAATTAAAAAAAAACGTTTTGAGCCTTGAAGGCCAAGGCTGAAATCATAAACACACTTGACTGAGAATTATCCCTTTTAAATGTCCAGGATTTGTTAAAATAAACAAGTTTATACTATAAAAAATTTTCTGCTTCTCTAGACTAGGTCCTATTTTGTCAGACAATATGAAGTGTTGCCCTCAGCTGGCAAAAATAGATAGTTTATAAATAGAAACAATGAAGTCAAAGGGTCATAAAGTACAACAGATATTATCGATGGTAGTCTTTGGATGGACTAGAACAGCAATTCTCAACCTGGGGGGGGGTAGCAGGGGGGTATCAGAGGGGTCGCCAAAGACCATCAGAAAACAGTATTTTCTGTTGGTCATGGGGGTTCTGTGTGGGAAGTTTGGCCCAATTCTATTGTTGGTGGGGTTGAAAATGCTATTTGATTGTAGGTGAACCCAGCAAATACAACTTCCAAATGCCAAGGTCTCGTTTCTCCAAACTCCACAAGTGTTCACAATTGGGCATATTGAGTATTCGTGCTAAGTTTGGTCCAGATCCATCATTTTTTAAATCCGCAGTGCTCTCTGGAGGTAGGTGAACTACAACTCCAAAACTCAAGATCAATGCCCACCAACCCCTTCCAGTATTTTCTGCTTGTCATGGGAGTTCTGTGTGAAACGTTTGGTTCAATTCCATCATTGGTGGAGTTCAGAATGCTCATTGATTGTGGGCGAACTATACATTCCAGTAAGTACTACTCCCAATCACAAAATCAATCCCACCAGTATTCAAATTTGGGTGTATCGGGTATTTGTGCCAAACTTGGCCTAGTGAATGAAAATACTTCCTGCATATCAGATATTTACATTACAATTCATAACAGTAGCAAAATCACAGTTATGAAGTAGCAACAAAAATAATTTTATGGTTGGGGGTCACCACAACATGAGGAACTGTATTAAGGGGTCGCGGCATAATGAAAGTTGAGAAACACTGAGCTAAAAGGAGGAATAAAAAGAACAATGGGTTCTCCCCTAGACATCATCTGGATACGTGTCTTTTAGAAAAGTTAGATGTTCTCCTGCTGGTTTCAGTTTCCTAGAACACTTAATTATATTTCTGCATATTTCATCTCAGCCCCTCCCCCTTTTGTCACTTTTCTTCAACTTACCATATTTCTGAGAGGATTCCATGATAGGTCTTTGAGAAATTACAGTGTTTTTTTGTTTTTTTTTAGAATTACTCTAGATTATTGAAAACAATGTTTTAAAATGATTCTGTAGATTTAAAGCTATAGTAATGTAATAAATGAAATTGTGATGTATAGATCAAAAGAGCTGAAGTATGTAAGACTAAGCATGGCTTCGGTGAATAACGATACATCCTTGAAATTTTTTCAGGAGTCCTGTTTAATTCTACTAACGGAAGCAATTCTGTCAATAAAGCTACAGTGATGGATCCTTCCACAGTTACATAATGTGTGGGTTTATTAGATGCATAATATCAAATTCTAGTACACATAAACTTCAGAGTCCTTTTCCATGTTCAACGTTACCTCTTCTCATTGGCCTCCAGTTTCCAATTATGCCGATCAGCTGTTTGCTGTATATTAGAAGACTTTTTGTCCAGCTGTTGCATGTCAGTGCAGCACCGAATCATTAATATCTGCTGTACTGGAATGCTGTCAAAATATCGTGTTTATAAGCTCCTCTCCCCTAGCTTTCAAGTACAAATGAATAGTTCAAAAAAAAATACATATATGGACTCTAAATAGCAAAAATTGTCATCCCGAGAGAGGATATGTTTCCTTTATCTGTATCTTCTTCATGAACATTTTTACTAATTTTCATCAAGACATACAAATGGGCTTTAGACCCCCTGCAAAATCTTCAGTGAAAATGCTTTTCATTCTTCTTTTTTTGACTCAGTTCTAGTTTTATGAGTTTTTTCCCCTAATAATTTCTTTTTAATTACAGAGCAAAGAAATTGCATTCCAGCTACATGAGGATTTAATGAGAGTTCTGAATGAGCTTTATACGGTAAGCATTTTGATTCAAATTTGGTTGAAAGAAATGTTCATTGAAAATCCATTGTCTACATTTTAAATTTTTTCATTGAGTTGCCTTGCCATAAAATAATACTGTTTTTAGTCTGGGATACCTAGACTAAGTCTGTGGATTTGACATGAAAGGACAGAGTTTTCCAGCTTTTTCTGATGCCCTTCAAGACTCACTGTATACATATCTCCTGGCTTGCTTAGTTATACTTAATTTAATTACATGGTTCATTTTAATTTGTACTTTTGTGTGCTTATAGCATTGTCAAACATGTTTTTCATTGCACCAAAATGTAAGCAACTATATATTTTCTTTAAATTATGTCTGGTTATTCCTGCAAGAAACACCTTGATTCTTTGTGTCACAAGATAACCTATTTTCTTCCATTTAATAGATTTCATAGTGATACTCCTTATTAAACTGCAGGCCGCTATAACTTCTGGTCATGTGTTTGGTCCTGTCACCATCTGAGTAACTATTTACTTGCCAGATTAGTTTTTCAAGTAGAATAAGGTAGATAATAAAACAAGCAAAATTAAATAATTAGATGTATAATGTATAGTTTGGATTGCATATAAAAGAAATAAAATTTGAAATTGAACTTTTTACATTTGTAGATAGGTAAAATAGAGAAGTCAGACTGATATAGTGGTTTGATTGTTGGATTGAAATTCTTCAAGCCCAGGGTTTGAATCCCCACTCAGGCAGTGCTCCTTCGGCAGGAGTGCAATCCCATTCAGTACAGGCTGGGCTGGATTGGTGGAGTCAGCTTCATTAAATCACCACTGACCGAAAGGTCATGAATTTGAAGCCAGCCCAGGTCAGAATAAGCTCCCGACCATTTGTCTAGCTTGCTGTCGAGTTTTGCAGCCCAAAAGACAGTTGCATCTGTCAAGTTGGAAATTTAGGTACCGCTTATGCGGGGAGGCAAATTTAACTAATTTACGATGCCATAAAAATGTCTAGCAAAAGAATTAGGAAGTACACCATCAAAGGACTTGGTGTCACAAGTGGACGGTGAAACGACAGCTCCCCCAGTGGCTGGATTTTAAGCATACCCTCATGAAGCTGGAATGTTAAATTGCCTCTGTGTTTGTATATAAGTTGTGTGTCTGTGGCATTGAATGTTTACCATGTATATGTCCATTATATGTCCATTATAATCCACCCTGAGTCCCCTGCGGGGTGAGAAGGGCGGAATCTTTATTTATTTATTTATTTACTTCATTTCTATCCTGCTCTTCTCACCCCTCAGGGGACTCAGAGCAGCATACAACATACAAAGCAAAAACTCAATGCCTCATTATACAAATCATATAAAACATAACATAAAATCACTAGAAACAATAAGCATATAAATAACATTTAAAACCATTAAACATAATAACCCCATACACAAATAAAACATTGGACCAATCCTTTAAGCACCCTACCAGGGCCTCCCCCGTCTCCTCTCATGATCCTAAGGCAATGCCTCCCAATTCATAGAACCCCAGATGCACCGGCCCCCAACTCCCAAAAGTCCCAATAAATTGGCTGGGATTTCTGGGACCCACAGGCCAAGAACCAATGACCCAATGTCTTCTTGGCTGTCTTGGATGGTGCTGTATGACTGGTCCTCCGCTGGCATCCTCCTTTTATGGCCCAGCCTCAGGAGGCAGCAGGTGTTTCTGCTGGGCCTTGTCTCAGCCAGGCAGTCAGGGCCCGAATATAAATGCTATAAATAAATACATGCATAAATAAATAAACGTGCTTGAGCAGGTTGTGGGACAGAGAGAAGTCCCTCCCAAGAGGATGATAGATTTCTAACAGGTTCGTCAAAAGAGATACAGTTCTTCAAATAACCTGGACCTAACCAGCCCCTGTTAGCAATCTGGCCACTGCTCTTTGGACCAATTGAAGCTTCTGAGGACTTTTCAAAGGCAGCTCTATGTTGAGCATGTTACAGTAGTCCAGCCGGGATGTAAACAAAGCATGTGGCCAGATCCAAGTTCTACAGGAACAAGTGCAGTTGACACACTAGCGTCAGCTGTGCAAAAGCACTCCTGGTCACTGCTGATACCTGTTCTCCAGGTTTATCAAAGAATCCAGGAGTACCCCCAAACTGCAAACCTGCATTTTCAGATGGAGTGTGACCCCATCATAATAATAATGGCGTGTGGATCATAATAAATTGTGGCAAGTTCTTGGTGGGATGGGCATCCCAAGCCACCTTGTCTCTCTCCTGAGGAATCTGTACAAGGACCAAGTAGCAACAGTAAGAACTGACCACGGAACAACAGACTGGTTCAAGATTTGGAAAGGCGTATGGCAAGGCTGCATACTCTCACCCAACCTTTTTAACTTGTATGCAGAACACATCATGTGATGTGCGGGGCTTGATGAATGCAAGGCTGGGGTGAAAATTGCTGGAAGAAACATTAACAATCTCAGATATGAGGATGACACCACTCTGATGGCCGAAAGCGAGGAGGAGCTGAGGAGCCTTCTAATCAAGGTGAAAGAAGAAAGTGCAAAAGCTGGGTTGCAGCTAAACATCAAAAAAACCAAGATCATTTCAACAATTTTTTTTTTTTTTTTTTTTTTTTTATTTTGTTTTTTTTTTTTTTGGCAACAGAATGATTGACAACTGGAAAATAGAGGGAGAAAATGTGGAGGCTGTGACAGACTTTGTATTTCTAGGTGCAAAGATTACTGCAGATGCAGACTGTGGCCAGGAAATCAGAAGACGCTTACTTCTTGGGAGGAGAGCAATGTCCAATCTCGATAAAATAGTAAAGAGTAGAGACATCACATTGGCAACAAAGATCTGCATAGTTAAAGCCATGGTATTCCCTGTAGTAACCTACGGATGTGAGAGCTGGACCTTAGGGAGGGCTGAGCGAAGGAAGATAGATGCTTTTGAACTGTGGTGTTGGAGGAAAGTTCTGAGAGTGCCTTGGACTGCGAGAAGATCCAACCAGTCCATCCTCCAGGAAATAAAGCCCGACTGCTCATTGGAGGGAAGGATACTAGAGACAAAGTTGAAGTACTTTGGACACATCATGAGGAGACAGCAAAGCCTAGAGAAGACAATTATGCTGGGGAAAGTGGAAGGTAAAAGGAAGAGGGGCCGACCAAGGGCAAGAGGGATGGATGGCATCCTTGAAGTGACTGGACTGACCTTGAAGGAGCTGGGGGTGGTGACGGCCGACAGGGAGCTCTGGCGTGGGCTGGTCCATGAGGTCACGAAGAGTCGGAGACGACTGAACGAATGAACAACAACGTGACCCCATCTAACACATTCTGACTCACTATTATCAGATTTGTCTTTCAACTGTCCAGGAGCACCTCTGTCTTGTCTGAATTAAGCTTCAATTTGTTAGCCCTCATCCAATCCATTACAACTACACACTGAAGTTCTATTGGAGGACTACTTAGCCCGTGAACTACTGGATATATAAATAAGGACATACATACTTTGTTACTACAGTGCCTTCACAGAAATAGCGATTTGCTTCAGATAAATGAGGAGTGAATAGTTGTTGCTGCTATGTTGTCTCATTGGTTTGCTTGCTTTCATGTGTGTGCGTGCGTGTGTTTTAGAATGAACCAATTCCCAGAAGTACCAATTTTAACATTTAAATTACTGGATCCTCATTAGTATTCAGGTATGTCATAGAGATGTGGAGCAACTGTGTGAGGAAAAGGATTAAAGCCTTTAATCTGCTGCAGCAGAGTGTGGAAAGGGGTTCTTAATATGTATGCTCCTGTAGTGCAGTAGATGGTTCTGTCCTAGATTTCAGAGGAAGGAACTGGCAAAACTATTTCTGAGTATTCCTTGGCTATGAAACCCCTACGAAAATCATAAGGTCACCATACGTTGGCAGCTAGCTTGAAGACACATAGATACACACACACAAAATCCGCAGTGTTAAACATAGGCATGTCATTAAAATATGCTTCACTTGGAAGTAGATAAAATAATATACGAGTCAAACATTAAACAGTTCTGTTTATCTGGACAAAAGCATGACCAATAAAGTATACAGCTTGAAGAATCATGAACCACTTTGGAGAAATGGGTTCTCCCAGACATAGATTGTATAATTTTCATTGAATTTCAATTTAAAGACAAGGGTGAAAGCTCAGCTTTCAATCTGATACCTGTATTGGTGCATTTTAATATACCTATGCAGGTATTCATATGACTCAGTATTAAATTGAAAGCATCATTACTGCTCCACTGACTGTTGCTTCTTCATGGGCCAAATGGTCAACAGCTTCTTGCTTTTTAAGTTATATGTATTTGGTTGTTTAAGCTGTGTGCATTTCCCTTTGTACATGTTATTTAATTGTTTCCGGTTATGTTTGAAATATCAAATTTAATTTATACTTAATTGTTATTTAATTGTTTCCAGTTGTGTTTGAAATATCAAATTAACTCCTTAAAGGCAACATAAACTTCTGTATATCATCACTAATAGTGCTTTTAGAGATAATGTTCACTTTTTCTAGATCATAACTCAACAGTACAAGTCCTAAATCCCTTTCCGTGATAATATCTTGGAGAGATAGTGGACTGAAGGGAATTAGACTCAGATCCTTACACCTAATAGTTCCTCCAAGTACAAAGGGAGGCCACATCCGTCCTCACAGTCTGAAGTAACTGTGTGTTTGGTGGGGCATCCACAGCTGGCCTTGTGCATTTCTGAAGGCTCATCTGTTTTCACAAGAAAGCATTAAATAGTGTTCGTATATGTGTGTGAATATGTTATAAATGCATGTTGGTAATAAATATCAAATAAATTCTGCAGCCCCCTGCTGATGCAAGAGCTTCCAAAACTGCATGCTCGATTGGTGACTACCCAATCTCTTCTTAAAGATTTCTAACAGAGGAGAGTCTGCCAGATTTCGAGGCACTGCATGGGAGGTTGCTAAAGGAAGTCGTTCTCAACTTTCATTCTTTCAAATATTTTAAACATTACTCCTAGAGTTCTGAT